AATGAGCATCTAACAAAGTCCCAACCCCAAGACAAGAGATACCTTTTGTGATGGATGTATCCAAAATATAAAGACCAGCTGACTCATGTCCTTTACCAATAATCTGCTTCGTTAACAGATCCTGAAACACACAATATCCAGGAAAAAATGTTACAGAACAATTAAGAGTACGAGTGATTTTACTGATGGAAAGCAGATTAAATGCAAAATTAGGAAGACTCAAAACAGGCGATAATGGTAATGTAGAAGTTGGAACAACAGTACCAGATCCAAGAACGGGTGAGGTAGATCCATCAGCTAAAGTGACACTAGAAGTAGGTAAATATGAATGAAATGATGAGAATAGATTAGGATTACCGGTCATATGATCTGTGGCACCTGAATCAATGACCCATTTCGAGGATGATGAAACAAGACATGTGTTTGAAATACCTGAATTCGCGGCTACAGAGATAGGGACAGATGAATGCTTTAGAGATTCTTGGTAGCAAATAAATTTGGCATACTCGTCTGAAGAAATAGCAACTGATCCGTCAAATGAACTGGTAGCGGAAGCAATATGAGCAGGCTGATTTCCTTGATTTTTGAACATCAATTTCCTACACTCTTGGATCAAGTGTCCAGGCTTTTTGCAATAATTGCATATAACTCCTCTGTCAAATCCACTCGTACAATACATAACTTTTTTTTTTTTTTTGTAATTTTTTTTTTTTTTTTTTTTTTGTAATTTTTTTTTTTTTTAACTTATACTTTTTTTTTTTTTTTTTTTTTGTAGTTAAATTCAAAAATGGGATAAAGGTGGAAACTTACGGAAGTTAAATTCCTTTTGTGGACTCAAACTTCGGAGTAGAATATCCAATTTGTTTGGGCTTTTTGACCCCTACTCCAGACAGAATTAACTATGCAAACCCCTCAGAATAACAAAGAGCGTTGTTCGCAGATATGAGTGATGCGTATGTCTGCAGATATCCGATGCCAGCCAAGACCCAGCCCTTCTTCTAGCGACAGGATTGGAACAGCCTGACGACGACGTACAACCTCACCAGGCCTTTATTCACCGTCCCAGACTACCGGTCGATCCTGGATGTAGAAAGAGAAAAAAAAACAGGCTTCCAATTTTGAAACAAGGTGTACCTGGATATCGCTAGATGACACTCCTGCGAATCTGAAGATGGTCGCTGTTAGAATCTTCGACCAGAAAAACGGCGTCACGCGCCGAGCGGGTGATGGTTGCAGCGGCTTCCGACGGCGCGTGCAGCTCACGCGCGGTGATTTGGGCGTGCGGACTTCCGGTCACCGGTCGACGGCGGCAGGCGAACCAGAGGGACAGTTGTTGGACTAAGGTTATGAACTAAAGTGTTTTCTGACGTTCTGCTAAGGTTCTGAGACTGGATGTTCTGCTGAGGTTCTGAGAGTGAGGATGTTCTGCTGAGGTTTGGAAAAAGGTTCTGGGAAAAAAAAAATTTGGAAAGAGACTAAGATCGGAAGATTCTTGAAAACTTTGGACTGAAATCAAGAACTTAGAGAAAGAAGGATTTTGAAAACTAAACTGAAATGGATGGCTCTGATACCATGTTGAAATATAAACTAGAATAATATTGAAAGTGGAGGAAAGATTTTCTGTGTATTTCATTGAAGGGTAAGGCCCTATAAATATAGATTACAAAGATAGAATATTCCTATAAAAGATGCTATACAATAATACTATATATGGTATATTCCTAATATATTCTAAAGCATATTCTAAAGTATATTCTAATATACTTTTACACATATAAACTTCCTCGTGCAGATCTCCGTGAAGGAATGCGTTTTTAATATCCAATTGGAACAATGGCTAGCGGCTCATTGCTGCCATGGATAAAACCAAACGAATTGATGCAATCTTCGCTACAGGAGAAAAAGTGTCAGTGTAATCCAAACCATATATCTGAGTATACCCTTTCGCCACAAGGCGTGCTTTAAAGCGATCAATCTCCCCATCAGGCCCAACTTTAACTGTGTAAATCCACCGACATCCCACCACTGATTTGCCAGGGGGAAGGGGAACCAAGTCCCACGTCCCACTAGAATGAAGAGCCTCCATCTCAACCAACATGGCTTTACGCCACTCCGGGTGTGCCAGTGCCTCATGTGTGGTTTTAGGAATGCATATATGAGATAGGTGGGAAATGAAAGCATAGTAAGGGGTAGAGAGGCGGTGATAACTCAAAAAGTTATATATGGGATGTGGATTCAATGTGGAACGCGTACCTTTTCGGAGGGCAATGGGCAAATCATCCTGAGTGGTTTCAAGTGCTGGAGTAGGTGATGGTGGTGATGCAGGATCCATCATAGGGGAATCAACGGGCGTGGTCACGATGGGCTCAATGGGAGGAGGTCGAGGTCGTCGATGGTATACCTGTAATGGACGGTCTGACATAGGAGGGAAGTTTGGGTGCTCATCAGATGGGGGGCTAATGGGAATCTCCTGGTGGATGGGCCGGAGATATGAGGTGAAGTCCAAACATGATGGGGTATCAACTGAAGATAATGGATAATAGAAGGACGACTCAATGAAAGTGACATCAGCTGAAATAAAATGTTTCTTAAGTAATGGAGAATAACAACGATAACCCTTTTGGAGTCGTGAATATCCAAGAAAGATACATTTTATTGACCTAGCCGACATTTTAGCTAATCCAGGTGTCGTATCATGGACAAAACACACACACCCAAAGACATGAGGTGGTAATGGAAATAAGTCATGGCCAGGAAACAAAATAGTATAGGGAATTTCATTATTAAGAACTGAGGAAGGCATTCTATTTATTAAATGACAAGCAGTGAGCACAGCATCTGCCCAATACTGAGGAGGTGTATGGGAATGTAATAATAAGGTACGAGCAGTATCAACCAAGTGTCGGTTCTTGCGTTCAGCAACCCCATTTTGTTGAGGCGTGTGAACACAAGATGATTGGTGAAGCATGCCCCGTGATGACATGAATTGATTAAAGGATGCCCCAAAAAATAATTTAGCATTGTCACTGCGTAAAATTTTGATAGAATGACCAAACTGAGTTTGAATTTCAGCACAAAACGTTTGAAAAATATGAAACAATTCAAAACGCTCCTTCATTAAGAACAACCATGTGTAACGGGAAAAATCATCCACAAAAATAACAAAATAACGGAAACCTAAAGTAGAAGTGACTCGATACGGACCCCATACATCTGTATGAACTAAATCAAACGGTGATGTAGCCCGTTTATTGACTCGCCTTGGAAAGGATTTACGAGGTTGTTTTCCAAGGTGGCATGACTCACAATCTAAAGATGAAAGATTTGAGAAACCTGGAACCATACGTTGAAACTTGGAGAGACTAGGATGACCCAGACGGTTGTGTAAGGTAATAGCAGGTTCAACTGAAACACAAGCGGTTGGATCAGGAGGATGGAGATGATACAGACCTTGAGATTCATGTCCGACGCCAATCGTTTTCCCCGTACAACGGTCCTGCACAATCACAGAATCAATAGAAAATGTTACGGAACAATTAAGATCACATGTAATTTTGCTGACAGAGACAAGGTTAAAAGGGGTGTTAGGGACATATAAGAATGAGTCTAATGGTAAGGATGAAAATGGAAGTGCTTGCCCAATACCCGAACCCGAAATTTGAAGGCCATTAGCAAGAGTAATCAAAGGAAGATGTCGGTGCTTGGTAATATGGGATAAAAGATGGGGATTACCAGAAATATGGTCTAAGGCACATGAGTCAATGATCCATGAGCCCGTTGTGTTTGAAACACAAGCGGTAGACACCCCGGGCGTGGATAAAGGCATATTAGTCAACTTAAATTCCGGTGATAGAACAATGGGAGATGATGGGAGCTGAGCAACATGGGCTGAGGGAGGATTTCTCCCATGTAATTGCCAACACCTGTCTTTATTATGACCAATTTTATGGCAAAAATCACATTTAGGACAATTCCATCTTGAGTATCCGGTGTTGTTTCCTCTGTCAGAACTCATAAAGACATTTTTTTAATACTTTTTTTTTCTTTTCTATTTTTTTTTCTTTTTCTTTCTTTTTTTTAGAAGAATGAAAAGCTAACAAATGAGAAATTAAAAATAAAACCTGCTGAGGATCAACGCTTCAAGACAGTAGAACTCACGATAGCCGTTTGCAAATACTCCGTAAAAAATAAAACCTGCTGAGTGTGTGATGCAGTGTGTTGACCGTCTCACGTTTGAGGGACCATCTCTCAGGCAACGCCAAGCTGGAGTGTGAACAAGTAGACCAGAGAGCAACCCAGAGAGCAACCCAGAGAGCAGTGAAACAGCGGAAGTAACTGCCTGAGATTCCGTCAAATAGGTGGAGCAACGGCCAGAGCAGCGGCGAGCGGCCAGAAAGGCGGCGACGACCGATATGAGCGGCGCGTGGTTTTGGCGGCGGCGCGTAAGATCGGCGGCGGCGCGTGGTTATGTCGGCGGCGCGTGGGTCCGATGAGTGACTGGTTTATGTTGTTTTGGTCGCTAGGAGTCACAGATCTTCAGTGTTTCGTCTGTGTGAGCTCAAGATGAGTAGAAAGAGAGAGATCTGTAAAGAAAGGTGAAAGAACCTGGCAGTTGGCGGCGGCGCGTGGCAGTGCGTGCAAGTTGCAGCAGAGGTGTAGTTTCAGACGTTAGTGTACTGAGGATGGCGGTAGGTGTGGTTTGATATATCACTACCGGAAATTGCTCAAACACCAAATGCTCTTACTGTTCACGTCGGACTTTCTTGCCGGAAATTAAGAATACTATATCTAAAGACATATATGGCTCTGATACCATGTGAACAAGTATTGTTATATTTCATATATTTGATGTTTTAACATACTATACAAGAAGCTATATTTATAGCTATATTTAGAGTACTAGGGTTTCCTATACAAATGGGCTAAGCCCAATACTACTAGGGTTTCCACAGGTGTATTTTCATTGATGGCCGAATGCGACACAGTAGGAGAGAGATTACCTTCGGATCGCGAACTGCTGCTGCTAGAAGAATTCCGCGATCCTCTACTGGCCCGTGACCTTCTTCTACTGTTTCGTTCCTTGTTGGTCATCATCTGGTGCATCTCCGTCATCATCGCCTCCAGTTTTTCTATCCGACCATGACCATCCGTCATCATCGCCTCCAGTTTATCAATCCTGCCCTCCATTTGTAGTCGCGCAAATGGCATCCACCGCCCACTGATCGTGCTCTGATACCAAATGATACGACACAACACTCCAGAGAAATTTAGGGACGTATATTAATCAACGTTCAGTCCAAAGGAAGAAGAAAAAAAACAGATAACAATGGAAAATAGCAATAACTTGCAGCCAAAGAAAAAAACAAGCTGGAGACCATTCGAGAGGGCCCCTCTCTCCAACAACTAGACAATTCCCAGATATCCCTCTCTCCACTACCCGACTCCCTTTTATTCTCTTTTCCATCTCATCCTGACCTCACTTCATTAATTAGTAAATTACCCCCTTACCCCTTCTATAGTAAACTTTAGAAAAGTCTCTGTTAGGATTTATTTTAAATTGGGTTGTGTTCTCATCAACCACCTGCACAAATCAATACTTTTTATGACATAATACTCAGTAGTTTTTCATCAAGTATAGCAGATGTGATTCCATATGAATGAAAATTAAATAAAAACAAAAAACTTAATAATAATGTAATCTCTCAAATAGCTTTCCTAATTGATGAATTCATTATGGACTACCTGTATCTTCTTGTTATATGATTTAAAAATTCTTAATTCTAGTGAACTTTATATTATTTACAGATTGGTGCTAGTGTGCTACTGCATTATTATGATGTAAATTGAGCTTGAAATTAAAAAAAAAACAAATCATTATTCCTTATTTTTCTCTACATTTCTCGCGTTACCATTTCACATTTCAGCTACTATCTTTTGTGAGATTGTGATGTGATTTTTTTATGTTGCTTCTTCCTTTGATGTCTTGAGATGATGCAGATTAATAATGCTGGATCAAATGCTTATAGCTACAAACCGCTTGTAGAAGCTTCTGATGAAGACCTAATGTAAAACTTTTACACTTTTTTTTTGCAATGCATCCTTTGGATGTTCTTCTGAAATCGGAATCTGTTTGCAGCGAAGTGGTCACCACAAATACACTTGGTTTGATGATATGCTGTCGAGAGGTATACAAAATACAAATACACAGGTCTGGACATGTTTTGGCGTTGCAGTTTTTATTGCTAATGTTTGGCATGTTTAGGCTATAGATATGATGCTCAATCAGCCTCGAGGAGGTCATGTATTTAATATTGATGGAGCTGGTTCCGATGGAAGGCCAACCCCTAGGTGTCCTTCTTCATCTTAAAATTGCAATCATGTTTGGGTAAATTTTGCGTGGGGCAGAAATTGCTCCATTTCTGTCCAGCTATTCCTTTAACTTGTTTTTTATAGCATTACTCTCTTTGTTTCTTTTGCTTTTATTTTGTATTACTCAATTGCTACGTTAACAATAAAAGAATTGTTGGTAGGTTGGGACGTCTAGCCTATTCTCTTTGCCTGCAAAAATGTGTTTTCATCCAACATTTGAGATCTAGGATGGTTTAGTCTAGTCTAAATGTTTTTTATTTGCTGCGGTTTGGATCAATTTGATCTGATTTGAATGTTTCTTATCTTGTCTAATTTTCTTGTTTGAAGATTAAAACAAGATTTAGTAAAAAAAGGTGAACAAAACAAGACTTTGTGCTGTATTGGTTGAAAAAAGCGTGTTTGGTCAGTTCCTGTCTTAGTCACAACCTCAATGCTTTGTTTATTGATGTATTTGTTTTGCTTGTCACAGATTTGCTGCTTATGGTGCAACTAAACGTAGTGTGGCACACCTTACAAAATCCTTGCAGGCATGTAGAATCCTTTCATTCCCGTTCTTCCTAGTGTTTGTTTTTGGTGTATATCATTTTTGTTCCTGTAGTGGTCCAAAACATTGATGGGCATCAAAACCGTTCAATACGCATAGTTAAGAGACTTTATTTACCCGAATGACAATACATGTAGTTTAAGCATGTACACTTCTCAAATGCACAATTTCTGTTGACTAGTGCATTTGAGGTCAATTTACTTTTTGCGCCTTGCTTCAGTTTGGGTGGAGGCTTGATTTTGTAACAGTGCCTACTTTGTAATTTCTTTTTCTCGACATTAACAAATGCAAGGAGTACTGCTGGGGCTTGGATACCTTGAACTGTCGCTGTCTTTGATATTTTCACGATATTTAGCTGAATGTATCATATTTAGCTTGTTTTTAATATTTTTGGACAAGCTATTTGAAACAACAACATCTAAGCCTTAGTCCCAAAAGAATTTGAGGTCAACTAACATGAATCGATAAATGAAATCGGAGCTAAAAAAGTTAAATAGATAAAATTATAAGATAAGATATAAATGATAAGATAAAAATAACCATCCCCGGGCATTTGGGGTCAACTAGAACTCCGCCTTCTATTCTTATCACCACCTCGACTCCCCCATGTCCTCACGTATTTGACACCATAGAATACTTATCACCACTCTTAGGCCTATGAAGTGTAGCGGAGGACGGGAGAGAAGAAATTGTGACACATTTGTTATTTGTAGATTATTTAGTCATTTTCTTTTATAAAGACTCGTGTTCTCAAAATTCATCCTTTTTTGATAAGGCTCTTCAGCTCTTGGATCATTATGGGGGTTTGGGAGGAAAAGTCACATCCACCCATTCATTGTAGTTAAAAATATGTTTTAACACAAGAAAGTTATTGAATCCCTGTAGGCGGAATTGGAGATGCAAGATGTAAGAAAAGTTGTAGTGCACAACCTCTCAGTACGTCTCGCTGTATGCTTTATACTTTTGTATGATGAAAGTTGTAATTTCAATTTGAATGGGTATCATGAAATGAGTACATGACCAAGCATATATCTCAACTTATCAGTGTCATGATATTTTCAACGTAAAATTTTGTCACTACTCACTATGCATGCATTTATAGTCTTAGATGAATTTGTACAATTAATGGAAACAAACCACAATGCAGTACACAATCGCGTCCACAATTTTGGACGCGATTTTCACTACGGGTCATCCGGAAACAGTCTCTCTGTGCTTTAGTACAGGGGTAAGACTGCGTACATCCGACCCCCCCTTACCCCACCGTAGGTGGGAGCCTTTGCGGCACTGGGGTAAATGAAAATGTAAATGAAAATGAAATGAATGGAAACAAACCACAATGCAGTTGTGGTTAAGGTGATGATGATGGTAATGTATAGAATGATGCTGTTGTACAAAACTACAAAAATGGCATTACAGATCTGTGCTTCACCTGAAAATGTTGTGATCTTTTTGAATTTTTAAAATCTGGTCTGATCTAATCCGAATGTCTCTAGTGACTAATCTAGTGAAGATGATGATAATGAATGTAAAGATACTGTTGTACAAAATGGCATTATAGATCTGTGCTTCACCTGAAAAATGATGTGTCTTTTTTAATATTTAAATCCTGGTCTGGTATAATCCGAATGTCTCTGGTCTAGTCATTACTATAAGATCAGATCAAAACATGCTATGATCAAAATAAGGATAACTAATGAGTTATAAGAAAAAAGAATAAGCTGAACAAACTAATCAAACTGTTCCCTTTAAAATGCTTCAGTGGCCCCATTTGAGTCAACCTTTGACAATCTAATAATTACTCATCATCATCATCATTACCCTAGTGCCGCAAAGGCTCCCACCTACGGTGGGGTAAGGGGGGGGGGGTCGGATGTACGCAGTCTTACCCTAGTACTAAAGCACAAAGAGACTGTTTCCGGATGACCCATAGTGAAAATGGGGTCGAAAATTGCATGGATTGACTGCTGCTTCATAGCAAAGAAGCGCGGACAGTTTAGTGAACCATTTTGCTTTATTCCATCATATTCCCAAGCCAAAAAATAGTGAATCTTTGACTCCATTGCAAATGATGGAAAGCTAATAATTACTATGCTATCTATTTCTGGACAATGTTTATATTCATAGGCTCAATTATTCTCTGATAAATGAACAGCCTGGAATGGTCACAACTGAACTTCTCATGTCTGGTGCTACCACAAAGCAGGTTTTCCACTATAACGTCACTATACTCTTACTGTTGTTTTCTTTCTGATACATTTTAACAACTTTGGCTTAATGTAGGCCAAGTTTTTTATAAACATATTGGCAGAGCCGGCTGATGTGGTAAGGTTTTTAATTTTTTCATTCCATTGTCTAATTCTTATCGTCCTGTCTGAGATTATTTCCATAAAGCTTCTCTAGTGTAGATAATCGCATAATGGAAATGTCTTCAGTAGTTACAAACAGCCAAGCAAGCACCATTACTGTAGTTGGAATTACCCCTATACAAGAGCATCTCTGCACTTCTGGTCCTTGGGCTATAATAGTTTTTGTTTTTGGTTCCCATCTTTAAAAATGACCAGTTTTGGTACTCCGTTTTTCAAAAATGTTTTCACTTTTCGGATCTGGTTTCACAATCGACCGATCTTGATTCATAGGAACCGGAACAGGAACCTGTAGGGGCCAGTTTGGTTCTCCGGGTAGTTCCGAACCACCCAGAATCCTGAACCCCACCCGATTTGCTATTATAGGTAGCTGGACCAATTATTGAGCTACAAATATAGAAAAAGAACAGGAGACAGATTTTCCTTTTTCAGTCCCCTTTAATCTGGAACTGAATATCATCTTTGGTTTCGGTATTCCCATTTCTCGTTCTCATTCCAGAGTATTGATTTAGAACTAGAATCGTGTCCATCCCTTCTAAAGTTCAATTTGAGAGACACGATGGTAAATATCTTACCTCAATGTCACTCCTTCTCACTTTTAGGGGATCCTAATAAATCTAATCTACCAAATCAAACATCGCATATCCTCCTTAGTTTTTTAGTATCTTCATCCGCTACTCATTTTAAATATTTGTATTATTGCATCAGTAGTTCACTAGTTCCTTTAGTTAGTTAGCAAAGACGACCCAAGGGTTTCTATTTCCATTACTATCTCTCAAATTGAAACTG